TACTGAACTGTGTTCAAGTAGAAACATGATGTTATAGTGATCAGTGCGGCGAGAGCGCACATACACGGTTTGTTTGCACACCAAAAATAACGGATAAATGTGCGCCTAATGTACGACTCTTGTATGCCACTGTAATCGTTTTTGCCTTGATTACAATTGTCATCTATCAAAACCATACTAGAGCGACACTGGGTTGAATTATCCTGCCGAGAGCTGTAGTTTGCATATCATATGGTCTTGCAGGGGTCGGGTGTTTTGAGTCGTTCAGTCTGTATTTCACACAGCATGATGAGAAACGGCTTGAGCTACTTCAAAACACAGGATATCAATTCAGAACACGCACAAGAGAGGTGGTGCTGTTATTTTTTTTATTGTTTTAAAATGTAACATATCAATCATAAAATTAGTTAATTGAATATACTTTAATTTTAAATTATTTTGCGCCCCCCATGGAGGATCGCTAAATTTAAATCAATTTAAAAATTCCTCTTTTTTTTGGCAAATTGCTGCACAACAGATGTTCAATGTTAAAATTAAACTTGATTTTAAAAACAAAATTTGCTAAGTTCCATGACATTCCGCATTATACTGTAAATGAATTTATGACTGGTTCGGTGATTCTGTCCAGGTTTTCCGCATGATGGAAATTATAAGGCCCTAAAATAGCAACTTCTTTGAAATGCAGAAAAAGCAGCATGCACTTGAAATGCTCCAGTTTAAATGCAAGCTCCAGCTGATGGTGACATCATGTCAGAAAGAGCTCACATTTACCACTGAGGATGAGATGCCCACTCTGATATGTTATGAGATGCACGCTGAGAAATCTAGACGGACAACAAGCACTCAATCTCACTAATTGCAAATTCAGTTTACTCTCGCTTTACCTAATTGTGCATGTACTATATGTGGCCATTTAAACTCTGATACACTTGTACAGTCCAAAAATTAATTTGAGAATTTCTTTGAGGTCACTGTGCTTTGAATTAGTGAGATTTTATTTGATAAAATAATTGATACTTTTAGGTTGCATTAAATTGGTCAAAACAAACTATTTCTGTTTAAATCAACATATTAGAATGATTTCTGAAGGATCATGTGACACTGAAGACTGGAGAAATGATGCTGAAAATTCAGCTTTGAACGCAGGAATAAATTACATTTTAAAACATTCAAATAGAAAACAGTTATTTTAAATTGCAACAATATTTCGGAATATTATGCAGCCTTGGTGAGCAGAAGAGACTTTTCAAAAACATTTTAAAAATTGTACTGACCCCAAACTTTCAATGGCATTGGTTTTACCGATAACTGAAATGTGAGACTTCACAACAGTAGAGCAATACAGTTTCTCTCGGTGATTTGTCTACAAGCGGTTTGTCTCCTCTTACAGTCTCTGCCAAAACATTTAATATTAAAAGCAGGAAGGCACTGAGAAACGTCTCGTGACATGCAACAACGACTCCTGTCTGTGCACCAACCACTTGCTATGATGATTTTGATAACTCTTCTAAAAGAGCACTTTAGTGAGTCACGTATTTTGTTGGTCTGATTTTAAACATCTCGGCAACATGAAAAATTAAGCTGCATGTGAAAACTGCAGCAGGGGAATAAGTGACAGAAAAGACATTATTACAAACTTGTAGAAAGCTGAAGCGAAACGGTTTGCGGGTCGTGATGAGGAAATATCATGACTGATATAAGTTAGCATGGAATAAATATAGGTCTCCTCCGCTGCACAGGTGAGCCGTTTCTCACCGGCTTTATCTCGGCAGCCAGACGCGGAGGTTACAGCAGAGATGAAGGGAATGAGATTCAGAGGTAACGCACGCCTCACCCGAAGATTTCTGGGAAAAGCGATGCACGTTCTCTGAAACAGTCAAGGGTGTCAGCTATCACGACAGGGGGTTTCAAAATAACTACTTTGATTTTACCAGGAATCCTTGAAGATAATCTGTGTAATCTGACATGTTTCAAGCTGTGTAATTTAACAGTACGAGAGCAACTGCAGTTTCACGCCGCCGATCAAGGGTTTTCGTGACCGGTTACAGGGACGGCTTTTAAGAGCAATTACACGTATAGAAGTTCACGACAACTTGTCCAAGCAAAACAGCTTCTGTCAGCGCAGACGTCCTGCAATTCTCGGGTTTGAGAGGACTTAGCAGGAGGTTTTATTTGACATAATGGATGAAAGTTTCTGTCCATGGCAGAGAGACTGAAATAAAGCCTGTGTGCGAGTGTATTTGTGCTCTTATACTGTATAAGTCACGTCTTGTGTTAATTGCAGACCTGTCATATTAGGAGTAGTATTTAAGTTCCCTCATTCTGATCTTATAATAGCAGCACAATGCAATAACTAGCTGTTCTTTTCTTTTTTATGCTTTGCAATTATAGACCATCCACATGTCCAGCATCTGCTGCATATATCACAGATGCATTTTATATGACAGAAGCACTAGCATTAAAAGGTTTGGAGTCTGTAAGATCTTTTATGTTTTTGAAAGCAGTCTCTAGGTTGCATTAATTTGATCAACAATGCAGTAAAAACTGTAATGTCGTGAGATATTATTACAATTTAAAATAACTTTTCTATTTGAATATATTTTAAAATATTATTTATGGCAAAGCTTTTATTTCACGATTCTTTTATGAATAGAAATTTGAAATGAACAGATTTGTTTCTTCTTTACGGTCACTTTTTGATGCATCTTTGCTGAATTAAAGTACACATTTCTTTCAAAGAATAAAATAAAATTAATTGTATTAATTTATTAATAAAATATTATTATAAAAAAATTAAAAAAGAAAATAAGAATGTTACCTTAGCAACCAACTGAAATAAGTATAAATACTAAATTTACTGAAACTAAAATTTAAATAACTAAAAATATAAAAATAAAAGCTAAATCAAAATACTTTAACAGTACATAAATAATCCTAAATTAAGACTGCTGACAGCCTCAACCTTGAATACATTTACACTAAATATAACACCCTTGTTTATACAACTAAATTAAAAATAACGATGAAAAGCAGCATTTGACAAAATATTCCGCAACACAAAAAACCTAAAACCAGTTTTAAACCTGTTCATGTACACGAACTGTAACGAACATTTGCCATGCTATGTGAGAGCAGTAAAGCTGCGTGCTTCACATGCAGCATTTTGTTGCGTTAATTGATGGAAAAAATGGAAATGGAAAAAGCAAGACTACTTTAAAAACTACTGTCACTACCAAAATAAAGGTCAAGTTAGTAGTGCCTCTGCTTTTAGTTACACCACAAAATCATAACCTAAAAATGCATTTAAAAAGGGTTATATATTAACTATGAACTAATGTCCACTAATAGCCATATGGATATAGAGATACTCCAATATAAACAGTATATCAGAACCTCCACCGTAACATTTTTACCGTATATACACCATATAGGTTCCATAATTAGAACGAAAATGGTAACAGTTTGCATACTGGCAATTCTACAAACATGCAAAAACTTTCACTTTGAAGCAAAAAATAAAACCCCAAATGGCTACAGCAGTGAGGCACTTGAAAGCCATCGCCTGAACTGCTGAAAGGAAGGCAAATGGCTCACTTTTAGCACTTTCTAGCTCAGCATGGTGAAATGCAAGTCACTTCCCACTTTTATAAAACCTCAGAAAGAGTGTGGAAGCTAAAATAAACTGTACAAATGGAAAAGAGGAGGTAAAGGAACAAAGCATGACGGCTGGATGAGGTTTACAGGATGTAACTGTGGTTCTCTGTGTCAAAGAAACTTTACCGTGTCGACTCGGTTTAAACTCTCGACTCGTTCAGATCCCTGTTGTATGAGTGATGAGGCCATTCTGAGCTTCCTGATGTTCCTGCTAGCATCTGTGTGGATACCGTGGTGAACTGTGCGCAGCTTCAGGCTGTTATTAGTTTGATGCTACATGCCAACAACCCACCCGAAGCCCATTCATGGATCATCTAAAGCATTTTGCACTCAAAACTGGAAAACAACGATGCATAAAAATTGAGATCATGCACACTATCGGTCAAACGTTTAAGGTCAGCATGCTTTTTAGTTTTTCAAAGTTTCTTATGCTCAGCAGGGCTACATTTTCGATCGAAAACACAGTAAAAAACAGTAACTGATTGAGAAATAATATTACAATAGCTGGTTTCTATTTGAATATATTTCAAAATGTAATTTATTACAAGTTGAATTTTCAGCATCATTACTCCAGTGTCACATGACCCCTCAGAAATCATCCTAATATGATGATTTACTGCAGAAAGAAACATTTCTGATTATGTCGAAATTAAAACACCTGTGCTGCTAATACATATGTTAACATGGACATTTTTCAGTTTTATTCAAAAAAAAAGTTGCAATAGAAAAGCAATTTAATCTTTTACAACATTAAAAGTTGGTAGCACTACTTAATTCAGTGCCATTAGTTAATGTCAGTTAACTACATTAACTAATAAATGGACTATTTAAAGCATTATCCAAAATGTCTTCATTGTCACTTCTGTTCAATTTAATGCATCCCTACTGAATTAAAGTATTAATTTCTCAAAAGAAAAGAAAAGAAAGAAAAAAAAAAAAAAGACTTTGCCCAAACGTTTGAATGGTAGTATAGCATGGTTTTTATAGTGAACTTAAAATTCCATAAAACATAATTTTCATAACTTGAAATAAACAATTTTAATTAAATATTAAAAATAACCTTTCTTTAAACAACATTTCTTATTTTCATTTAGTTGTAGTAAAATAAAATAACTAAAACTCAAAAATGTTTACTATAACTATAGACATTTAAAAAAAAAGCTAATAAAAACAAAATTACTAATACTTTAACCTAAATTATGATGAAAACAAAAAATATATTGAAAATAATTCAAAATATTAATACAAACTATAATAGCATCTCAAGGACACTAAAATAACACTGTAGCTATAGGAGTCTGCATTCTCATGCATTGTATTATGGTCCACAGATGTTTGGATCTTACCTCGGGAAGGCATCGAAGCAGTAGGTTTTGCGTGTGTCGGGAAAGGCCACACGCAAGCCGGACATGAGGGGAGAGTGGAGGATCACCGCCGCGCACTCGTACCGGGACGCCAGGTCCACCGTCGGCACTGTCCCTATGCTCTGACCGTACAAGATGATGTTTTCCGGAGTCACTCCATACCTTCAGAAGAAAAAGAGAGAGAAGAAATTAAAAACGGCTGCATATCACATCAACACTTCAAGTGTGGTACATTTCTGGCATCCTCTCATCTGTGTGGGCGAAATTACATCACAACGCAAGCAGCTCGTGATGTTTACTTTGAATTGCGTTTGTGTCTATAGCAACATTACAATTGGTGGCAAAATGTATTTCCATCACGGCGTATTATTAGATAATCCAATTGGACAAAATGGCATGTTAGATCAAGAACAGAAGAGAAACCATTAAAAATAGAGACATGAAATGCAGATATAAACTCGCAGGCTTCATAAAAGAACTAAGTGAGTCCCTGAGCTAGTGAACACAGGGCTGAAGCTTTATTTGACACTTTAAGATGCGCTCAAAGGAAATGCCAGAGGGGGCGAGCGAGAAGTCAAGGAGTAGATGGAGAAAGAAAGGGGAAAATGCACTGCTATGCTCTTCAGGTTTTTGTTCTCCGACTTTCCCAGGCAGCTTTGCAGTCGGGTCTGACACCTGGTCGCCAATAGAAAGCAAACGTGTTTGAAGTCTAACCTCAGATCAGGCTTTTTCAGGTTTTTACCGCAGGCTTGCCCAGGGCCGCGTGAGACGAGGTAGAGAAACAAAGCAGCTGTGAGGTGGAAGTCTCGAATGCACACGCAGCAGTACAAAGTGTACCGTGGAGAGCGCTAGCTACACGAGCCTCTGAACTCGACTAGCTTTGGCGAGATTTTATCAGGTAACGGAACATGAGGTCTCCATCGCTGTCTCCCACACAGACAGATGTTACAGGGTGAAAAGAGGAGGCTGAGAGCGCTCTTGTAAATAAACAACCACCCATGCGACGGAGCTGATAGACACTGTGAAATTCAGGCTTGGAAATCAAGTTTCTAGAGATGTGATGAGAGGAGAGCAAAAATACATCTCAGAGGTAATTCATCTCCATCAATAACTGTCAACATAGAGAGTCAGCTTATAGTTGGAAAAATTTGTTTGTGAACAGTTTTGAATAAACTGGATTTTTTTTACATGCAAGGTTTAAATTCTGAAACCTTACTCAAATTAATTCAGTTTTTGTCATATAAAATGGTCCCGTAAGTCCAACTAAACAGTAAAAAAAAAAAAAAAAAAGATTAAAAAAATTCATACAACGAAAATGAATAAATTATACATAAATTACTATTACTAATAATAATAAATTATTACTATTATTAATTTAACCATCAACATCAATAGCCATGATGGAACAATTTACCTATATAATAATAATATTAATAATAATAATAATAATAAAATTAAAACATTTTTGCATATAATTTTGTACATAATAATTATTATTATTATTATTGTTGTTGTTATGCATTAACTAACAATGAATAATACATTTGTTACAGTATTTATGAATCATCGTTTAAGTTAATAAACAAAAATATACCTGTTTATTGTTAGTTCATGTTAGGGACACTAAATACTAAGAGATACCGGAACATGAGGTCTCCATCGCTGTCTCCCACACAGACAGATGTTACAGGGTGAAAAGAGGAGGCTGAGAGCGCTCTTGTAAATAAACAACCACCCATGCGACGGAGCTGATAGACACTGTGAAATTCAGGCTTGGAAATCAAGTTTCTAGAGATGTGATGAGAGGAGAGCAAAAATACATCTCAGAGGTAATTCATCTCCATCAATAACTGTCAACATAGAGAGTCAGCTTATAGTTGGAAAAATTTGTTTGTGAACAGTTTTGAATAAACTGGATTTTTTTTACATGCAAGGTTTAAATTCTGAAACCTTACTCAAATTAATTCAGTTTTTGTCATATAAAATGGTCCCGTAAGTCCAACTAAAAAATTAAAAAAAAAAAAAAAAAAAAAGATTAAAAAAATTCATACAACGAAAATGAATAAATTATACATAAATTACTATTACTAATAATAATAAATTATTACTATTATTAATTTAACCATCAACATCAATAGCCATGATGGAACAATTTACCTATATAATAATAATATTAATAATAATAATAATAATAAAATTAAAACATTTTTGCATATAATTTTGTACATAATAATTATTATTATTATTATTGTTGTTGTTATGCATTAACTAACAATGAATAATACATTTGTTACAGTATTTATGAATCATCGTTTAAGTTAATAAACAAAAATATACCTGTTTATTGTTAGTTCATGTTAGGGACACTAAATACTAAAAGATACAAGTTTTGATTTTAAAAATGTATTAGTACATGCTGAAATTAACTAGGATTAATTAATGCTTTAGAAGAACGTTTCATTGTTAAATGTTAACTAATGCTGTTAAAGATATAGTAGGATATAATGTACAATGTATAACAAAACATTATACCTACGCATGCATGTAGTTATTATTATAATTATTACTACTATTTTATGTTGTTGTTGTTATTATTATTATTATTATTATTATTATTATTATTATT